GGCTATGGCCGTTGCAAGGCCACTGCCTCTATGAGCCCCATTCGGCCCCTTTTTGGGAGCCTATCGGCCGCCCTAAGTGAAGGCAGGCTCGACGAGGCCCTCAGGGCCTTATTTCGGCCTCTGCGCAACTAAGGAAATTCAGGCAGTTGTGCAGCGCCAGTTGGTTGAGAGAACCCAGGCCCTGGGCCGCCTGTGTGAATGAATGGAAAGCAGGCCCTGGGCTGGATACGGGTACTGGGCCAAATATATGCCAAAGGCAGTTGGGCACATGCAACCACATCAGGCCCCAGGCCTGTTCTCGATCGTGCTGGGCCTCAACTGGAAGCTTCCTGGGACTGGACGTAGGCAGGCCACTTTGATATAGCAAAGGGCCTGCCTCCTCATTCGGCATTCGGGTGCTGGCTGCATGCTGCGCTATTTGCTAGCTGGCGCCTACGCGCTCACGGGCGAGCAGGGAAGGAGCAGGCAGCCATAGTCGAGCTGCGCTGCTGTGAGCTGGGTGTGGCGCAGGGTGGTCCTTGGGTGCAAGTGGCATCTGTGTGTTGGGGAACGAGGTTGTGAGTAAGGCGAGAGACATACCTGGTGCTGGAAGTGTGCGACATTGGTCGATGTATGCTCGTATTTCGGGAGAGTTGTTGTCGTCAACTTCGGCATTGTAGTATAGGCTAGATAGGATCTGCCACATGTAGTCTGGGCGCCGAGCGCCAGATAGGATATCAACTCTGGTTCTTCGTTGCTGATGATGATGGGACTATTTCAGCATTGTCAAATATGAACTCTTGGTGTGTTCTTATTTGGTGAAATTCGTGATGCAATTCTGTTGTTGGTTCGAGGTCACAACTATCTGGACTCATATGTATGATGCTGTATGATTGCCGAAGTTCGCTATTGCTCATCTTCCTTGCAATTTGGTATCGGAGTTGTGGTACGTTTGCGCTCATCTGGCGCTTGTCTTCTGCTTGGTACGGTACATACATGCGGTCTGCTTGGCGAGTTTGGCCGTAAGTGGTGTGTAGTGAGGAGGGCGGAGGCGAGTGAGTGGCGACCCAGGAGGTGAGGGGATCGCCAAGAAGGCTACGTGGTGTTAATGTGGTCTGGAGAGTGTGATGAGAACTATCTAATGTGTGATTGATGCTGAGGTGGAACGGCGAGATTATGCTGGTTGTGCCGACGCAGTGACTGGTCATCGCAATCGCCATCAGGTCATCTGGTGAGATTATCTCTGTGGTAGGGGGAAGCTATTTGAGGTACGTTGCTCTTAACCTTATCTACCCTCTTCGACACTTCTTACCGTGAGGTTGTGTGTTCCTTCGTGAGAGTCCTCTTGTTGTGAGGTGTCGAGTGCGCTCAACCTTGAGAGTCGGCAATGTTCACGTGGAGCATGTGGGAGAAGATGGGTGGAGCTTTCTGAAGGGCCCTGGACGAAGCATTGGGTCACGGTCACCATGCTAACCCACCGGGAGTAGAGCACGCATGCTTTGCTGCTCGTCCTTTGTCTGGCTTGTTGCGCTGTTAGATGGGTATTGAAGGGCAGGCCAGCCCTGTGGGAGACGAGACCGGGCGTCTTTAAATAAGCACCGGGAGGGGAATCATTGGTTGTGATCGTCGTCCGACTGCGACGTAAAATAATTCCTGGAGTCACTTGGGGGCGGACGCTAAATTGCCTTTGGATCAGCCAATGGTCGTAAGGCTCGCTGCACGCGAGGATAATTCAGTGCAGGGCTGGCCAGCTCAGCAGATACTCGGGGCACAGGAGTGGGCCGAACACACACCTTTTAGACACTCAACGCCTCCGGATTGCTCAGGGACGATGGCGTCAAGTGACATTCAGGGGAACAAAGGGAGGGGTAGATTTCAGGTGATAAGTTCGAGAAAATTCCATGTTGTCCTATCCACACAAATAATTCTATTTTTATGTTTTGATTAGTTAGGTGTACAACCATTGACATCTGACAGACAGTATTAGTTAGAACTGTTTCTTGGTCATGGTGCTTCTGTTTGCGGACTAGTCAAACTAAAAATAGTTTTATTTGTAGGAATCTGACTTACCTGTTGGGCCCGAATGTAAAGTCTCTGAAATAGCCACCAATTGGTCTGTGCACTACGCTGCGGTAGGCACCCAGAGTGCATTAGTGCAGATTGTGTACAGTACTGTAGCTTATGAGCGACGAGGAGGACACTAGAGAGGACGATCGGATCTTGCAATCGTCAAGGCGCCCAGTAGCCCATTTGGCATTAGGTCCAGAGGGTGACATGTATCTGTTCCGCTAGCGTAGAGAGAGGTTGCAGCAGCGGAGGCTAGCAGGGCACTTGTGAGTGAAGCCGCAGCTTCAGAAGCCATGGCCACCTCAGCACAGCAATCTACTCAGGCCGGTAGTTCAGGGTCTGTTGGGTCAACGGTTGCACAGACCCAGAGTCAGTCGGCTGGCGTAATGGCGAGCCAGCCTATAGTGTTGACCTCCGACGTGATCGCCATACAACAAGCAGCTTTGCAGGAGGCACAACTACAGAAGGCATTAGGAGATATAAAAGCGGGGAAAGAAAGAATGATTAGAAGAAGAACCAGGATGCAACGGAGACAAGCGGACATTAGTGAGTTAGAGGAGATGGACCTGACGCACGTGACTGCGAAGTCTGGCCCTGTTGGTTAGGCAAGCGCAGGTAACGTCGCCAACGTTCGGGCCTGGCGCCTGGCCCGTGGTACATTCTCCTCCTTTTGTCCCACCGGTGACTGGGGTATCCCCATATGTAGCCCCATCATCGGTTGCGATCGTTTCCCTGGGCATGCCGCTATTAGGAGGGATCACAGCAGGATCTAGTTTGCAGGTTCCGTATAGACAATGTACACCCAATCTCCGTTGCAGGTTGCAGTCACCACGCAGCCTGCAGTCTCGCAGTCTGTGCAGCCGCAGGGTGTACAGCAGCCTGTTTCACAGGGTCCACAGCCCGGAGTGATGCAGGGACCGGGACAAACACAGTGGGTGCCAAAGACGGCCATCGCCGCTCTGAAACCCTTCATAGGGGATAAGAGAGGTGAAGACCTCGACACGTGGTTGAGGGCAGTGCCAGTCTATGTTAGGTGTAAACTTACCTTGCCGCACAAAGAAGTGTTTGTGGCTGCCTCCTACCTAGAGGGTAGCGCAGCAAGATGGTTGAGTGGTTAGTGCAGCTCCAGGGGTATGGTCATGACTTCCGCGCTTGGGCAGTCACCTAGAAATTGGATGACATCCTTAAGCTGGTGGAGGAAAGGTGGCATGATCCTCAGGAGGCCCAAAGGGCCACTGATGCGATCCTGACACTGCGCACGCGGCAGTTCAAGTCAGTAAGGGAAGCCACCGATGTTGTTGAGCGTCTGATCTGTGTCCCAGGGGTGCGCTATGACCCCCATGTTCTACTCACCTCCTACCTGAGATGCTTCTCTTTGCCTCTCAAAAACCAGTTGGCAGGTGAGGCCAACATCAATATGCACAACTTTCCTTCGTTTAGCAAGAAGGCCCTGGACCTTGAGGCGAAGATAGGGCATGGACAAGCACCCACTATGGATGGTAGGAAGAAAACACTGCCTCCCAACTGGAAGGCGAAGGGACGCATTATGTTTGTCGATAACGATAGTTCAACCATCGAATTAGACGACAACTTCCAGGAGGGAGTAGGTTCAGAGGCGGATAGCGTTGAAGCTTCAGAGGGTGGAGTTGTCGCTGCCGTAGCTCAAAAAGGTAAGTCGACCGGTAGACGTCGCGGAGGCTCCCGGTCAAGGAGTCAAGTCGACCCCAACGCTCCCCCATGGGAGAAGGCGGGTCTCTCAGAGGACGTGTGGAGAGATCGGTACACACGGCAGGCTTGCATTCGTTGTGGCCAATATGGCCATAATCAGTTCAAATGCCGTAACAAGAAGGTGACCGACAAAATCCCGCCTACGATGGGGCAGGCGGTAGGATCCTCCCAATTCTGCTGTTGGTTCGAGGTCACGACTATCTGGACTCATATGTATGATGCTGTATGATTGCTGAAGCTCGCTATTGCTCATCTTCCTTGCACCGCCTTCTACCACTATCTACAGGCAGCGATGGCTGCTCTATCTCCCTCCTAGCCCACTTCAACTACAGGCACCTGCAGACCACCTCGCACAAGACGCCTGGGCAGCGCTTCCGCATGGCTCACACAGAATGAATGAATGAATGGACACTGCCTCTTGATTTATACTTTTGTAGGTTGCTGGTCTGCCTCTTTCCACCGGGCCCATGGTGCACACTGCAGACAGTCCCACATGGTACTTGCTGACTAGACTAAGTGCAACTGGGACTGGGTACCGCTGACTCGACAAGTTCCTACTTACCCACTTGCCTCTGGCCTAACGTGTATAAACTCTTGAAAGGCCACTTCCGGACCTTCCGGAAGTCTGTGGACTTGGCCTTCCGGGACTGTAGCAGCTACGACCTTGACCTTTCAGGACTATAGCAGCTACGACCTTGACCTCTGCGAGTTGCAACAACTATGACCCCTACACGGGTATGACCCCTACTCGACAGATCTACGGTTCAAGACTCGACAACTACACAGACCTATGACAGAACATTCAGCTACCAAAACACAGGTCACGGGTTCAAAACACACGGGTGAGGTAAGGTCTAGGGATCGAGCCCTGGGATCACCCTCTGTTACTCCAAAGCTGAAAACCGTTTGAGTAGGGTCAGTGCTAGAATTTCAGTGACACTGATGAGACTATTTGCTGTTTACGGGCGTAGCCTTCCTCTTCATAAGTTAGAGCAGAATATGAAGGACGGGAAGAAATGGTCTGAGGCAACTTCCTTGCGAGTTTGAAAACAATTTTTTTTTTTGAGCTGTTTGTCACACTGGGAATGTGTTCGTAGGTCCCATACGTCTTTCTCACTTGTGTTTCTGTCCACAAAGTATCTCCATTGCGATGATGTAAGCCCTGAGTGATGGTGTTACCCCAAAAAAGAATGACATTTGAAACTTGGCTTGGTGAACCTATGCAGGTGAGCGGAGTGGCTTTTGACCCGTATTGGGTAAGTCCATCGGCTAGCGATGGTGAAGAATCCATGACATACCGGATCGGTTCTGTTGGTCAGGTGAGGGTTAATGCAAAACTGCCCTTCAATCTATGACTCGCCGCTCTCCCCTAATCATGTCTTCCCCCCATCTTCCCCCTGCCCACCCCCCCACCCTCCTGATCAATCACCTTGATCAGCGGCCATGTTGACTACTTGCAAATGAAGTGAGAAAGTTCTCTCGTAGTATATGCTTATGATGTGGACAAACAGTGGTTGTGGTAAAGATGTTTCTTTGAGATGTTGATTGCAAATAAATATCACAGGGTTTTCATGTGTTGATTGCACACTTCAGGGGCTTGAACAATGTCACCGAACTATCGAAAAACCAACCTGCTTCCTTCGGGAGTCGGGTGGGTGGAAGTAAAGCACATACTCACACAAAGACTTTCAATGGGGATATGTGACTCCAAATATGGAGTATCGCCTGTAGAGTCATTGCAGAAAACTCAAGTCTGAGTACGCCGAGTACTTATCCAAGAAGATTGACGGAGGATTGCCCTTTTCACACAGAAGCTATGACTTTGTTCATGGGATATCTACAACACCAATGCGCCTAGCTCAGTTGGTACACCCACAAACTATTGAAATACAGATTCAAGTGCGAGGATCAGTGTCCTCGGTAGGCCTACGAGGCCCTGTCTGCAGCCTTACCCGCCCTAAGTGAAGGCGGAGGTGCCCGCCCTAAGTGAAGGCGGAGGTGCCCGCCCTAAGTGAAGGCGGGCCTGGCTTTTTGCAAGAGGCCCTCGACTGTCAATTTCATATTTGGGGTCCAGGCAGTTGCGACGTGCCAGTTGGTTGAAAGAAACACAGGCCGAGTACCGAAGACATTTCCACGGCCTACCGGGCCTTTCCAAAGAATGCAGGCCCTGGGCGTGATTCGCAGCCTCATACAGAGACAGTTGGGCGCCCAACCGAACGAGGCCCAGCAGCCCAGTAGCTGCTGCATCCAGACAGCATCCTGGGGCCTTCCGGAAGCTGCTGGGCCCAGGCCAGTTCAGCCAGGCTGCGAGAGCTGGCCAGCTCTTTTCCATAAAGGAAAGAGCTCTGGCCAGGCAGC